CTGTCCTGCTCCTCTGATGCTGCTTGGCCTGCTGTGTTCATCCAGCTCTACACCTTGTTATCTTATGACCAATACTGATTTTAGATTTTGCTGCAACATCAGTCAGTTATTATTATTTGCTGCTGGAATTAAAATATTGTCTTTTGCCTTTTTGCCTGCTTACTAGTGCTTTCCTATGTTTTAGGATTTCTTTACAGCAGCTGTCATACCAAACATATAAACAAAGATAATGAACTGCTTCGAAAATTAATGCAAATTGTACAATCAGAATGATGCATGCAAAAACATACAAGGATGCCTCCAATCAGTGTTACAACTCTATTCCCTAGACATTCTCACTCCCTCCTTAATTGGCCCCCATGTTCCCAGTGGAGAATGAAGCAGCATTTAAACTGATCTATGAGGAAGTTTCTGCAAATATGGAAGGAGCTACAGCTTCTCTACATCAGTGAGACCGAGCGTAGACTTGCGGACCGTTTTGCCAAGCACCTTCGCCTGACCTGTAATGGCCAAACTAACCTCCCGGTCACCACCCATTTCAACTCCCTTCCCCACTCCCCCTTCGACATGTCCGTCCTTGGTCTCCTCCAGTGTTGCAGCGCATCGGAATGCAAATTTGAAGAACACCTTATCTTCCACCTGGACACCCTACAGCCCAGAGGACTCAACACTGAGTTCTCCAGTTTCAAATAACCTTCTCACCCATTCCCCGGCTCCCCTTCCAGACCCAGCTCCTCCCTTCCATTCCACCTTCTGAATCTCCCTTCCAGCCACCAACTGGATTCATCCCTTCCATCGACCAACCAGGTCGCACCTACTACCAGTGTTCACCTATCAGCACCATTCTGCTATCCACCCCCCTCTCTCTTTACATGCAGGTCCTTCTAACCCCAAATCCAGTCCTGAAGAAGGGTAATAACCAAAACATTGTCCTTTTCCTCCAGAAGCTGCCTGGCTTGCTATGTTCTTCCAGCCTCCTGTTTGTCTACCATGGAAGGGGCTACAGTAAAAAATGCTTTTCCCCACCATCCCAATGGATTTTTACTACAGCAACTGTGTGCTATGTTACTTAGAATTTATTTCACAATCACAGTGTAGAACAAAGAACAGATTTTTACAATGTTAATACAGTATGAAGCAGGCTACTGTAAGATATTCTTCTATAAATATTTGTTTAAAATTTGCCTTTTGATACTAGCTTATCATTATCCTGGTTTTTAGCATAGTGGCCTGCCGATTACCTTTGTTCTGAGTATTTGCAGTGGCCCAGAATAAAATATCTGCACAGGTGAAGTTGGTCACAATCTTCACATTTCTTGCTGGAGTAGTCCTTACAGAGCCGGACAGCGGTAGTGGCTATGATTCGACTGTCCAATGTCAGCTCGGACTCTGATATTTCTCCCCCAGTTCCGGGGATGATGGTAAAAAGCTGGCAGCCTCTCAATGTCATAGTTAAATGCATGTCAGATACTGCGTCGCTTTTGGAGATCGTTGTGCGGAGCTGCTGATAAAGTAATGATCCATTATTAGAGCACAGGATCTTGACGATCTTCTGATGGAGTTTTGACAGTGACATTTCCTCCCCTAACTTTCTTGCAACTAACTCTCTGTGACAAAATCCTTTTTAATGTGCAAGCTGAAAAGCTGGGAAATGAAAGTGAAACTTCAGCGACGTAAGTCTTTCTGCGGAACAACGCAGTATGATTCATTAAGTGGAACTCGTGTTGCAATCACCATAAAAGATAGTTTCAGAGGTAGCAGGAACTGCAGATGCTGGAGAATCTGAGATGACAAGGTGTAGAGCTGGATGAAAGGTCTGCTGTGTTCATCCAGCTTTACCATAAAAGATAGAGTTTGATTTAAGTCATTTTGAAGCTTCTTTCATCCCTAAAAAACATTGACTTACGTCGTGGTGTGTTTCTATTAGTACCATAAGCTTTTCCATATCTTGTCTAAACTAACATACTCCAAGGTAAGGGATAACAAGGTGTAGAACTGAATGAACACAGCAGGCAAAGCAGCATCAGAGGAGCAAGAAAGCTGACGTTTCGGGTCTGGACCCTTCTTCAGAAATGGGTCATACTCCATGGTAGTCAAAGTATACTCAAAACTTTTTCAGCTAAAACACGCATAATAAATACTCTAACACATGACCATGATCCAATGAGCAGTTCCAATGAAGTTCCTCCATGAGCAGGTGAAGACTTATTCCTCAGATAATGCAAGTAGATTATCATTGCTGTTGGAGGCTTGCTGTGCGCATGTTGGCTGTGGCATCTCCTATGGTAGAAATGTGGTTAACATTACAAAAGTACACCATTGGCCAAGATTGCGAAAGGTGCTATGTAAATGCAAGTATTTTTCTAATTGAAAATAGGGTTTTTTTTTAACCAGTGAATACCAGTCCCAAGAGTAGGACTTTAGAAATGTTTCACAGTTGAATTACAAAGAAGAAGAAAAAAATTGAGATAGCTGGAGAAATACATATTTAAGTTCTTCTTTAAGTTTTTTTTTCCATTTCAAAGCTTTGTTGCTAGGTGCGTCAGGTATATCACTTGCTAAGGTTCATGCTAGTTGAATGCAAGGTTCTTTTACCCCATTCCAAAGTGCTTCTTCCTTTAGGATAAGAATAAACAAATTCTTTAGCAATGGTGAACAAAGAAAACCTGCTGATCAGGTTATTAAACTAGTTTGTGGAATGCAGCAAAAACATTCCTCTGTTGTTTTCCTTCTGTATCTTACAGTATCCAAGCACTGGATTTGAATATTGCCTTGGCTAAGGAGAAGATGCTGGGGAAGCTGAAAGGTCTGAACATGGCTAAGTCTCCTGGACCAGATGGGCTACTCCCCACAGTTTGCAAGGAGACAGCTGAGGAGATTGTAGAGGAATTGGTGGTGATCTGTCAGGAATCTTTGCAGTAAAGGACTGGAAAATGGCTAATGTAACACCTCTGTTTAAGAAAGGAGGGAGCCAAAAGACAGGAAACTATCGGCTGGTTAACCTCACCTCGGTCAATGGTAAGATTTTAGTGTCCATTATTAAGGATGAGATTGTGGATCACTTGACAGTGCATGTAAAATTGGGCTGCATCAGCATGGTTTTGTCAAGGGAGGTCATGCCTGACAAATCTGTTAGAATTCTTTGAGGAGACAATGAGGAAGTTAGACAATGGAGAGCCAGTCAACATGATCTATTTGGAATTCCAAAAGAACTTGCTGCTAAATAAGCTAGAGCCCAATATGTTAGGGGTAAGGTACTACATGGATAGTGGATTGACTGACTGGCAAAAGGCAGAGAGTGGGGATAAAGGAGTCTTTTTCAGGATGTTAACTGGTGACTAGTGGAGTTCCGCCAGAGTCAGTGTTGAAATCACATCTGTTCACATTAATGATCTGGAAGAAGGAACTGAGGGCATCGGTGCTAAGTTTGCAGAAGACACAAAGAGAGGTGGAGCGACAGGTGGTTTTGAGGAAGTGGGGAGGCTGCAGAAGGACCTGGATAGGCTAGGAGAGTGGGCAGATGAGTATGCACTTTGGTAGGAAGAATAGAGGCATAGATTATTTTCTAAACAGGGAAAGGCTTCAGAAATCTGAAGCATAAAGAGACTTATGAGTCCTAGTTCAGAATTTTCTAATGTTAACATGCAGGTTCAGTTGTCAGGAAGATAAATGCAATGTTAGCATTCATTTCAAGAGGGCTAAAATACAAGAATATATATGTACTGCTGAGGCTGTGTAAGGCTCTGGTGAGACACATTTGGAATATTGTGAGCAGTTTTGGATCCAATAATGAAGGAAGGATGTGCTGGCCTTGGAAGAGTCCAGAGGAAGTTTACAAGAATGATCCCAGGGATGAAGGGTTTATCATATGAGGAGCAGTTGAGGACTCTAGTTCTGTGCTCGATGGAGTTTAGAAGGATGAGTGGGATCTTATTGAAGCTTAAAGAATACTGAGAGCCTTCGATAGAGGGGACATTGAGAAGATGTTTCATCTAGTAGGACAGACTAGGACCCAAGGGCACTGCTTCAGAGTGAAGGGACAGCCCTTTAGAAATGAGATGTGGAGGAATTCTTTCAGCCAGAGGGTGGTTAATCTGTGGAACCCATTGCCTCTGAAGGCTGTGGGGGCCAATTTATTGAGTGCATTTAAAATAGAGATGCATAGGTTCTTGATTAGTAAGGGATCAAGCGTTATGGGGAGAAGGCAGGAGAATGGGATTGAAAAATATATCGGCCGTGTTCAAATGGTAGAGGAAACTTGATGGGTCAAATGGCCTAATTCTGCTCATATAACATATGGTTTTATGGAGGGTGCAGGGGAGTGTGTGGTGGTGGTAAACGCCTCCATTCTGTATTGAGATCCTATGTGAATGAGATTAATCTGGGTCCATTTCAACATTGTTCAAAGTGGATGTCAGTCCAATACGCTGCAAAGAACTGAAGGAATTTTAAAATCATAAACCTTTGTCAGATAATTCACAAGTGGGGCTGATCAGGGAAATAGTTCAGTCAGGCATATTCTCCTTGTTGAGCTCAAAGTACATTGAATTATGTCCATGTTAGTAAATTGTAAAGGAATTCTAGGTCATGCTATTACTTTTGCTAGAAATAGAGAAATGAGGAAGTCTCCTGACTTTTCATGACATTACTGTGACAAGAGAGGATCTTCTGCTATGGTTTGGACAGGGGCAGGTTGGACAGAGAAGGCAGGGGAATTATAGTGGCTTTGAAAAAGATTGCTTGATGCAAACAGTGAGTCACTGAGATAGGGGATGTTCCATTCTCAGGACCATCATCTTTCATCTTGATGACTTTCAGAAGTTCCAGAGAAATGACTTACATTATTGACTGTAAGTTTATCACCTCCTCCATCCTGTCAAACTGGCAAAGAATCCCTTGCTTTATTCCCAGGGTTAGTCATCCTGGTGGAGTCAGCACAAACATCACTCTGGTGGACTGGACACACACTTTATCCTGGCAGAGTTGGCACGCAGTTCATGCTAGTGGAGCAGACACAGAAGTCACCCTGGTGGAGTGGACACAGTGGTCATCCTGACACAATTGACAGAGAGTGCACCTCGGTGGTGGGGGTACAAAGTTGACCATGGAGGAGGAGATGCAGAGATCACTCTGGTGGAGGGGCTGCATTGGTCACCCTTGTGGAGTGAACACAATGGTCACCTTGTTGGAGGGGTGTAGTGGTCACTCTGGCAGAATCAGCACAGAGATGACTCAGAGTGTGCACAGTGGTCCAACAATATGATCAGAAGGAAGGGTAGCATGCCAGCAGAAATGGAATGGGAGAAGGTCTTTTTGGTATCATTTTGAAAACAGCAGTAGGGTTTGATTATTTATGTTTATGTCTTAGCCTGTGGGAAGGGGCAATTTCATGCCTATATTCCTGTTTCCACATCATAATCTGTGATTAAGACTTGCTCTGCATTATCCCATTTGAGTTCAAATGAAACAGTGAATGCAATCAACAGCATAAACAATGTCAGAATTTTCTGGTATTGTACCTGCAATATTGCAAGTATTCTTGCTACCTCAGGCAGTGTCTTTTACAATCCATAAAAGAGACGGCTAATTGAGTCTGAAAATTCTGCCATGTCCCATTGGACACTGGTATGAACATTCAATAAAGAATGCACAAACAAATTGTTTCTTTCACATTAAAGGAAATGTTTTGAGCTCCCCTGTAACCATCAATGTGCACCGAACATGAGGCACGGCAGTACACAGTATAGTGCCATTTATGTTCCTGACTAAACTAGTTTCAACAAAAAAGCAATGATATGCACCAGAAAAATAAAACCAATGTAATTGAAATACCTAAAGTGCAATTTAGTTTCAAGAAAAACCATGCTACCTTTATCTCTCAATAATCCCTAAGTTAATGGCAATGGAGTTGGGCAGGAAAGTTTTGGCCAGCGGATTGTTTTATAGCTTATTCCTCACTGAAATCAAGCGCTGAGCACAGAAATCAATACATGGAGATTTGTTGATTCTTTTCCTACCAATGGTCTCCTAATATGTAAACTTTTATAAAATAAAGGCAGTTCACTCTTGTGTCAAGAAGTATGTGGGATATGCAGGAAAAGGAAGTTATGGCTACAATCTGGTTAGCTATGACACACAATTCCATTTACACAGTCAGAAATGACATGCTGTTGACAGAAATTTTGCCTTGTTGTAAGATGTCCCCATCAGCCAAACCTGTATTCACACTATTTCAAATATATTTTCTTGTAGCTTCCACTGGTTTTATTTAACTTTGAGCTTAGCAGCACTTGATCAGCAATGCCGAAAATACTCATTGCTTTTGATTCTCCCCAACCCCCATGTCCATTTCAACCTGAGTTAGGCGGAGACCAGCTTGAGGTTCCACCAGAATTCTGCTACGTTTCACTTTTTATGAAAAAAAAACTTAAATGTGACCATTTTGAAGCACTGTTCTCCTTTGGGAATCCAATTCAGATTGAAATACTGACATTTTCTCCTCTGGATATTTTCAGGGTTTGTGTTGCTCTTGAAATTTGAAGCATTCTGTACGTAATTTGTAGCATTCATTGTAAAATTCACATTTCAAAAACCTCTTTTTTTCACACAGATCTTTACTTATAATCCAATGTTGCTAAAA